TGTCAGCTGCTTGCACAGCTCCTGGATGTAGATAGATCCCGTGACTGTGTTTCGAAATGATTTGAATTCCTCCACAGTGGCCATGCCGATCAGAAAGTCTGCTAGTTCAGGCACTAGCACTGCCTCATCAGGGATTGAGGCGTCTGATTGCAGTACTCCTTTGTTTTGGTTCTCGTCCTCTCTGCTGCTGGGATAGTATCCTTTCTGGTATTCTTCACCCTGACAGGCTTGAATGAAGAAGAGTTTGGGCTTCCCTGCCAAGGTTGAGGCTCTTCCACTTGTAAAGGGGTCCGTCAGCTCTTTCAGGAACACCCTTTCCCCATCAGCGCCAAAGACACACCCCTTTTCTCCATGTGAAAGAACGCACACCACCTTAAATCAGAGGTAGATATATGTTTTATTATTTATACTAACACTACTACTACACATTGTCGATGTAACTGCTGTTACAATCACAGAGACATGCACTAAATGGTGACATTTTCAGAAATGTGCTGATCCCAGCTAAGACCATTTTGAGAAGACAGATACCGCATATCTGCACAGTAAATATGAAACAGTAGCTGGCTCATTAACTAAAGAAAAAAATGTAAATGTAATATTAATAAGTTATGGTTTTATGGTAAAGTATTTGCAGGTTACATTTAGCCTCAGAGCCTGCTGCTTCTTCTCAGATATCTCTTATTTAAAAAAGAAAAAAATTAAAATAATAAAAATAAGTGTAAATGTATAAAATGCATGACGTACTACAACTCTAAAGATGTGTGACTACGCACCAAGGCATCATGATTTGTAAAATTAATCCTGCCAAGATCATTTATTTTCTTCTTCATCTGCTCTGCAGTACAGTTATCGTGCATCTTCACTTTAAAACCAAAGTGAGTGAACACTTCTTTCAGAGTATCTGTGTCAGACAGAAAAGAAGCAAAAGAAGGATTATAAGTACATTACATGGTCATGGCATACGTATATATGCATTAATTGTTACAGGGCTCAGGAGCTTCCAGATAAAACAGTCATACATAAATCAGGTCATGTGACTGTTTGAAGTCAAGAACTGTACCTGCATCCTTCTGAGTTCCTTTTCGATCCTTCAGATGTGTTCCTGTGAAGATCTCATTGTTGAAGACCACGCACCAACCACGTGGGTTATGAGTCAGTGTGTAGTATTCTGACTACAGGACACAAACACAGCAAACAGGCCGATCGTAAATGTTACTGATGTGACAAAAGAATGAATGAAAGCATGAGAGCCTGTGAATGGATTACCTGATCAGGAAGAGAGGTGGAATTTGTTTCTAGTTGTGCATCAGTGTTAATACTCTCTCTTTGATCTAAAAAAAACATTACAACAATGTAAACATGTATATCAATCACGAGTATGATAAAAATAACAAAAAACATAAGTGTGACAACAGAAGGTTTAACAAATAATAATCACAAATACATTTTAATAGAGACACTTACAGTTGTGCTGAGTTTCAGTTATAGACAGTGGCTCATGGGTCCTCTGTGGGAATAAAACAAAGCAGTCAGCAAACTGACAAACTGCAACATTAACTGCTCAGAAACACACATTTACAGACACACATATACCTCAATATCCATGCTGACATCAGGGGGTAACGTGAACTGCTGCCGTGGCTGACCGCCTCCTGTAACAATCACAATCATTTGATGGTGTTACAACACATTCAATTTCCACATGTATGTATATGTACATGTGCGGGTATATGGAAGTGGATCCTATACCTTGTGTGTATTCCTCTAAAGTAATTGCCAGTTGTTGATCACACTCTTGCAGTGCTTCATGTAGCAAGCTAACATCTGTCTCTGATAGTAAAGCAGATTTTTCCATTTCTGCAAACACGTCCAGCGCTGTCTGGAATGAAAAGAGAGAAAGTTTTTAGTTCACAGAGGCTGTTTGTGGGACAGTCATCATCTCTGGTGCCATCAAATCCACAACTCGGTTTCCATTTGCATCAAATGCAAAGCACAGAAAATAATACTTGGTGGAGATTTTAATTGAATTTAAGGAAAATACAAAACAGTGAGATTCCATATTACAGAAATTCAACCAAAGTAATAGACATTATTATTTACAAATAATCTATGCTGAATTCACAAAGTTACTTGTGGGACTCCTCAAGGTTCAGTGCTCAAACCTAAACTGTTCAAACGGTATGTATATAAATTTATGTTGTTCTGGGATAAAAAAGTGAAGCAGCGTTTCAATACAATTTAAAGGGAATTGTAAGTTTTTAAATATGAATAAATTATCACTAACCTATAGCAAAATAAAGAAGAAGGATAATTATATAATAACAGGAAAATTAAAAAACAAATTCCAAATAACGATGAATAACAGTTAAACAAAAGAGGTGTAAATAGATGGAAATAGACAGTAAATTGACACCACCAAAAAAAAATATATCTTCAATTACAAAATTAATTGTTCCTTGTTAGTTTCACATAGTAAGGATGTCAAACTCATTTTGATTTCAAGTGGGCCTGACCAGTGAAACACACCTTTCTGTCAGTGAAAAGACATTTAACTAATTTCAACAGCATATCTCAGTTTTTCTACACGACACAGAAATGCTGCTGTGGTAATCTTTCACCATGACTGTTTGGGTTTAAATTCTAAAAAATAAATGTGTCAATTTTCAGAGAAAATTCTGGTAGTTCGTTGCCTCGTTGCCCTGACTGGCCTGTAAATAGGAAACAAGAAATGTGCTTTTTTGTGTGGACACACAAGAAAGCAATATCCAAAAACCTTCCATATTTAACATTGAAAAAACAGGAACTTTTCTGTTTTTTTAAATAACGTAATTAATGTGGTGTACTAGGGATGGTCACCAGAGAGATGTGTATGGGTAGGAAAAGCTGAAAAATATGTTGAATTATAGTTAAAAAGAATTTAGGCCTTGCTTCACATTTTCTAAAGCTGCCTAATGGGCAGGATTGGAGTCTTTTCTCAGACTGATTCTGGACCTCAGGCTTTATGTTTGACACCCCTGTACAACATCATAATAGTTAGAGGGATATCATGTGTTTGCTGATATATTCATTTCAGTATTTATGCATTTATATAAAAAAATAAACAGGAGAAACACCCTTCACCTTATAACGGTTGCTGATGTTGTATAGTTCATTCTGCAGAAGGTACTCTAGTTATATGTTAGTTACACACATGTTGTGAAAGCTGCAAACACAACAACCAGCTGATCCAAACAAAGTTGGGCAGAGTCTAAACAAGTAATCCATGACCTCTTATGACAATAAAAAAATTAATCTGATTTTAGCAAGGACTGTAAATAACTACATTTAATAAATAGTATGGAAATCTGTTTATGTTTCATGTGTCTGGAAAGAAATCCGCATTGGTTGCACTCTAGCTGCATGCAAAAATAAACAAATCCAGTTTTCCTGCTTTTACTTTTTTTTCCTCTTTAGAAGAAAACTCTTGAGAATCGATTAGTTTAAGCCAACCAACAGACTTTCAGTAAACTGCATGCTTTTATGATATCACTGATCTCAACTTTGCACTGATGATGTAAAAAGCACAAAATAATAAACTGCATTCAGAGGCTGGTAGTCTATTTGACAGAACATTTCAAAGTAAAATTACCAGTTAACTACTCTTAGTAGTGGAAGTGTGTTCTTTACTGTGCATACAGATTGAAAGGAAAAGTCGTTACATGCTGATCACAGTGAAAACAATCTAAATGTCAACTGTACAGCTAGCCTTTGATGTTCAGTAAAAAGCTTCTCACTCAAAAGCAGAAATGAAAAGGTGGATTGGTGTGTTCTCACCTTGGACAATTCCATTTGTCTCCTGCCCAGCTTGTTAGTCAGTAGAAACTTCAGTTTTTCAAAGTTCTCTGTAGTGAAGTCATTGTATATAGAATACAGGGTCTTCCTAATGGTCAGAGAAAAACTTTTGATATATTACTATTCCTATGCTGCATGCTGTACTATTAAGATAAAAACCAAAAGCTTTTACCTGTAGTCTGACAGGACAGGACTAGCATCTGTTTCCTCTGGCGGTCTGCTGTCTGTCTCCAGGACCCTGAGGAGATCTGCTCGATGGATGGTGTCGAGCAGCTGCCTGAGGAAGGCATCGTTTCGCAGCAGACCTTTTTCCTCTAATCTCAAGAACAGGTCTTTTGCATCCTTAATCTGTAGGGGAAAAAAACCCGCTCTTGAACATGAGGATGAATATCCTAGGGCGTCATACTGTCAACGTGTTATTTAAAACAATTTTCCACAAACATGCTAACAAAACAAGTGTAAACACATTACAAAATATGCAGTGCTCACGTTCTCCAGGCGTCTCCTGGTGACTACATCACGGCATAAGAAGCAAAGTTCTGCCACTTCAGAAGAGCCCAGGCCCTCGTCTATGTGGGACAAAGTCAGCCTGTCCATCACAGCCTGGTCCTCAGCTCACAACGATCTGCAGCTTTTATTGCTAACAGAAAACAAGTGTGCATGTTTTGATGGAGCAAAAACTGAAGTATTCAAAAACTTCATGCGTTGCAAACAAGCAATTTAATGACTAAAGATCATGACTAGAATGTTAAAATAACGACAACAATAATAATAATACCACACCATACACGATAAGATGCCATTACTGCCCTACGTAGATGCACCGCTAAGGGAAACACAGTAAGACGACTACATAGAGAACTTTGTCTTCCATCGCTGACCTTTCAACAGCGAACTGTTATATTGATCATTATTAAATGGCACAGAGCTTTGGATGTTAGGCCACATCATCTCTGACACCTGCAACATTTAAATGTTATTTACAACTTCCTATGAAAGCCTGGTTTTAAATTGTGTATTTGTATGGCAGCTTATACGTGACGCGGTGTCTTTCAGTCCTTCACTGTTTACTTTATTTCATGTTACTTTGGCCTCTCAATGCGTTTCTAGTAATCCCGTGTAGTCCCATGAAAAGACATCTACATGATACGACGGGGTGACGTCACTAACACTACCCACCCCGCCGCCAGTTTTGTTTCTCTTGACAAAAACGAACATTAAAAAGTTTTAAGTCAATATTACATAACGTGGCCCAGAGTTTACGCTAACAGTTTACGTCAGGTGAACTAAATTACGACGCTGAAACTTACCGCCGCTGTCTCTCGCTGTTAGTTTACAGCTCCTTAGCGAAAACTGCGCCTCTTATTAAATGCGAGGAAAATAACCCTTTAAAACAAATGAAAAATTACTTTTTGGGAGCGAAAAATATGCTGAAATATGTTTCAGTTGCTTTTATTTCCACTTTCTGTTAGAGCCGCAAATTCTTTCGTTTTCAGAGCAAGCGCCTCGCGTAACTGGGTGTGACGTCACGGTATAGGAAGTTGAAGTTGAGTGTCGGGTGCTGGGTAGAAAATTTTAAAAAATAAAGGCCACATAGGCCACATTCACACACAAACTATAGCGTTAGTGAGCCGACCAATATATTTTTCGCTTCACACTTGCCTACATGAGTTTACTAAGCTCAACTACAGTACATACTGGCACGTCTTTCATAATAAAATCCGTTTGTTTAGCATTGTAAACTTTTATTTTGAAAACTTACATGCTTTTTTTTTTCTTCTTAAACACATACATATTTATCGGCAAAGGGCTTTGCCCAAACGTGTACAAGAAACCCAAACTACTGAAACTGAAAACCACCCAAACTTTATTTATCTCTCTTACTGGAAAGATCACAAAGTTTGAGTTTTGATCGTTTGTGTTCCTCTCCACCAAATGTCCACAGATACAACTAATAGTCAGTCACTCGGAATAAAAAACAAAATAACTTTCTAAATGTCAGTGAAGATTATTCTCATGAACAAACATATATGAAGCTTATAAAGAGACAGTTTGTGAGCATGTGATAATGTGACTAGAGGGACTGGGCTTCCTGGTCTGCGTCTGCAGGATGATTGGAGGCAAAAGGGGTGAAGTACTCTCTGGCAAACAGAAAGACGTCGTCTGGTTTCCTCAATAACAGCAACTGCAGGAAGTCAGATATTAGTGCTCGAATCTCTGGATGCTGTCTCAAGTATGAGGAGTGGTCGGCCTTTAGCTCTTCCTGCCAAAACAAGACATAAACACACATTCATTTTCTGCTCAGATGGTCAGTAGAGTAATGGAAGTCTAGTATTAATCTCCTGTTGCACATGACCGGCTACCTTTCTGTCCAGGAACTTAGAACGCATCTGCATGTCTTCCTCCCACACAAGGGGGATCTTCTTGAAATCTACTGTAAAATTACAAATACACAAATATCACTGAATCTTTCATTGGAATCATACCTCTTATGTGTGAATATGTGTGTGGGGGATGTGTGTAACCTTTTTCTGCCTTTGATGGCAACTCTAGAAGTCTCATGGTGACTGGTGACCCCACCTGAACTCTGGTCACCAGATGCCTGATCAGAGAATATAACGAGTCAAATTGAAAGCACTAGTGTAACACATAACAGCAATAATAGCACTTACTTGTTATTCAGAAACCGCTTGAGTTAAACCAGAAAGTCCTCATGTATCACCAATATTCTTTTGCATACAAAAATCAGATGTGTCCTATTCCGTAGGTATATCTACACTTTATGGGAACCTTTCCCTTCAAAATGATCATTTTTAGAAACTGAATAGTTCCTAAGATGTCAAGGACACAAAGCAATTAACTATTCTACTATAGCTAATGTTATAGTTTGGACCCACAAAGAAGAAGCATCAATGGCTCCATTAGCAGTGGTTAATATTTTTGGCTAACATGTGAAAGATCTCTAGTTTAAGACCAGGAGGTGACATAAATCACAAGCAGAGTTGTGCCAGGAGGATGCCAAATCAAACATGTGGGAAATAGTAGAAATTCTTCTTTTATTTACCCCTTTCCCTGTTTCATCCACACCTCTCTAACCTCACTTACTGTTGGAGTTTTCTTATCACTGGTGGGCTCCTTTGTTCCATACCTGAACTTACCTGGCACAGAGTATATAATGACTGCACTCCCTTCCACCTCACTCTGTTTGCTTCTGGACTGGGAGCAGCTAAGGTGAGTTAGCTTAATTTACTTATTTAGCTTTAAGTCAGTGACTTGAAATCTAACCTTGTTTGGTCTTTTTAAGAGATCGCTAGTCCATGTGTGGCAATCTTTTGTGTAATTTAAACTACCTTTTTCTACAAGTTAAATAAACCCAACCACTGGGGAATCACTGATGGTTCATTCATACTGGTTGCCCATGCTGATAACGGTCTTCTCCTTTTAACCTCCTAACTAATGGATCCCTTGTGATTAAGGGAAGCATTCAATAAGTAGTGCTATTGTGTGATTAAAATGCTTTGTTGTTTAGTCTACATTAGTGACCTCCTATCAGCAGTAGGTAATATAAACATGAAACAGTGGGCAGCTGCAGTCTGTCTGGTGCACAGAGGGAGGCAGTAACACAGTCCAACAAGTGTGGGATGATGGAGAGACATATATTGAGCTTACCCATCATCCAGGAAGTAGCATTGCCAGGTACTGGAGTTGCCCTCCGTGGACTGAATAATCCTCTCTACCCCAAATACATCCAGGAGCTCAGCCCCGACCTCTAGCTGCCTTTGACTCAGCTCTCTCTGAGCACAAAAGAGACCACAATCAGAGCTCAGTACTCAAACAAGTTACTGATGGACCAGGATGTCTTACACAGGCATAAAGACTTACAAAAGAGGTGTTAATTATGTGTAATCCTGGGTCTAAGGAAACAAACGTCATGTTTTCTGGCATCTTCCTCCTCAGAGCGATCAGGCGCATCAGCAGCAAGCTGGAGCCCTCAGTTACCAGCCCTCTCAGGACAGACATGGGGTAGGACATGCTCTCTTCTGTCACCTCCTGTACACACACACACACACACACACACACACACACACACACACACACACACACACACACAAATGACAACATGTAGTAAATGCGCAACAGTAAGTAAGGATTTTGTAAATACTGGACAAACTCTTGCAAAAAGAGCGTGGTCGTTGCTTTGAATGACTGTGGTACTGTTTCATTAATATATTAGTGAGTTGACCCATAAAGCAGTGGTTATCTGACCTCTCCCACAGTCGTAACCTTATGGATCACCATCAGCCCATCACGCTGCACCATGTGACACCTCTTGTCCACACTATGGCCCTCGAGCTGAGGAGAGAAGTATAGAAGCACATCAAAGGTGCAATATTTCCACTTAATGCATCTGCTGGGCTGAGTGAATGTAAAAAGAAACAGCCCGGAAAGGATTCAGCGACTCACCTTGACATATTCATGGTGATCTTCCTCCAGCACCTCCAGGTCAGTTGTTAGGTAGGCTTAAACAGAGTAAAGGGTATGAAGAGAAATACTAACAACAGGAAACAGCAAAGATCAGTTTGTCCTAGCATCCTCTGCCTGCTCTCACCTGTCACTGCTGTCCCACAGGGGCAGTCGTCAATGGCTCCGTGGCTCTGAGCATGAAGCATCATGCATGGCTGCTCTCTCTGGGCAAACTCCACCGTCACACTGAACTCCCCCAGCTCTCTCCCCCCCTCTGATACAGTCACCAGCGAGTCTGCAAACACACACTTCTGCAGCTCGGCAGG